TAAAATCGTTTATCAAGCACCTAATATCTCTCTCGTCAAATGCAATCAAGCCATGCAATCAAGCTGTGAGAGTAAGTGAATAGATTGCACATGTCCATGTGTTTTTTAAACAAAACTATACTTTAAATATTAATTCCCTTTGTACAGGATAGGGTTACAAACGAGCACACAGTCCACCTGATGGTAAGTGGTTGCTGTAGCCCATATACATCTACATCTATCCTCGATTACGAATCAAAATGCAGATGCGTTGTCACCCATAAGGACTAAGATAGAATGCCTCGTTTTCAGTAAAGAGGGTCTCCGGTTCTCTACACTCACCATACAAAATACAGCAGCATAAGGCTACTGCTTCACGCTTGTATTCTGTGAGAGCGTAGTCCTTCCCCAGTCGAGCCGACCCATTCGTGCTACAACTACACTTTTAATATAACTGCAGCATGGCTCTACCACCTATATCCCTATCTATCTATATGTATTTTTAAACACAAAAATATTTCTACCTACGTCGGTTATAGACTTTGAAACACTCTAACCTATGTGCCCTGTAGGAACAACATTGTAACGCATTTTGCTAATAGCACATTTCTGTATGTCACCTACACCGATCACCCATAGTCACACCAGTCGTCATGTAAAAACATTTTAGGGTAAGGACCTTTGTGAAAGTGAATAGACCTTGTGTTTGACCAGATTTTGAGTTTCATTCCTCTCCAAATTATTAACCCTCGCCACCTCAACTCAGTGAAATATATATAAATACAAACTATATAACTTTACATGCCCTGAGCAAGTTTCAATAAAAAGGCAATAATGCAAAGATGGTTTTAGACCACTAAAGTAATGCATAGGCACTATATATTAAAGTTAAAAATAAACAACATTTATTTTTTTCCAACAAATAAACAAAATATAATTCTTTTTTTAGCGAAGTAGAACACCTCAAGGATCCACTAGTGTTAGTGTTAGATAATATTAGTATTGTAGCTTGATGTTAACTTAAAATTATGTCAAAATATCAAAGGGAATTTGATACCGCCGTGTAATTGTAGACGACGTTCCTTTGAACTAGGTCGAATTTGTAATTCAGATAAACTTTTTAGGAATGGCAGGTACCGCTCTTTGAATTTATGTCACGAATTAATGAGAGTAAGATATTTTTGTATTTCAATATACGTGATATATTTAAGTAGTAGCTTATTTTCGTTGTACATATAGATGGTATAATTAACCAATCTCAGTTGTTTGCACATTAGACTTTTAGTCCCACCTGATGAAAGCGAAATTAAGGTCTTGATCGTGAATCTTAAAAATGACAGTGCTATTAGCCAGGACTCTATCATATGCGTAAACATATTGTAACGCTTCCCGCCTGTCATAATAATAAATATATAAAATACTAAATGTATTATATTCCCCTTTATATTAAAAATTATATATATGTGACCAGGATAAATATGTTTTGATCTTTCTATATGATCTTTCTAAAGGTTTAATAATAGGCTGTTTGTAATATTTTGGCGTGATCGTCTTAGTTAGGACCCTTTTTGCAAGAATGAATATTCACTAGAGCAATTGAGAGCTTTTTTTTATAGAAGAAGGGGCAAACGAGCATGTGGCTCACCTGATGTTAAGTGACTACCGCCGCCCATGATCAACCGCAACACCAGGAGAATTGCGGGTTCGTTGCCGGTCCTTTAGAAAGGAGTAAGCTCTTTTCTTGAAGGTCCCCAGGTAGTATCGGTCCGGAAAAATCGCCGGTGGTAAACTATTCCACGGAGAGGTTGTACGTGGAAAAAAACTCCTTGTGAAACGTACAGTGGTGGACCGCCAAGCATCCAGATGGTGTGGATGGTATCGGGACGTTTGACGTGTAGTGCGTTCACGAAATTTGGCGGCTGGGATTAATCCGAACAATTCCTCAGAGCACTCCCCCGTGATAGATGCGATAAAATACGCAAAGAGATGCAACATCTCCTCGCAGCGCCAGTGAATCGAGCCGATCGGAAAGCACTCGGTCGTCGACGATTCGAGCCGCTCTGCGCTGGATGCGGTCAAGTGGAAGAAGCTGGTACTGGGGAGCCCCAGCCCAGAGATGGGAACAGTATTCCATGTGCGGCCGAACCTGCGCCTTGTAAAGTTGCAGGCGGTGTGCCGGAATGAAATACTGTCCCGCTCTGCTGAGCACGCCAAGCTTTTTAGAGGCCAATTTGGCCTTCCCTTCCAAGTGACCACGAAGCTGCACGTCACTCGATATGTCGACGCCGAGGATTCCGATACTGGCTGAGGCAACAAGGGGGAGTGCCTTGAAACTGAGGGGATACGACAAAGGGGTTCTTTTTAGCGGTTAACGCGCAAACTTGTGTCTTCTGGGGGTTAAACTGGACTAGATTTAGTCGCCCCCAATCCGAGACTCTGTCCAGCAGAGACTCGACTTCAGACACAAGTTCCCGAGAAATATTGGCTCGGCCGGTGTAAAGAGCATCACCAGTGCTGTCATCTGCATAGCAATGAATGTTACGGGTACGCAACATGTCATTGATATGCAGAAGAAACAGCGTTGGCGATAGCACACAGCCCTGTGGAACACCAGCATTAATAGGCTTGCAATCGGAGCTTGCACCGTCTACAACGACCTTGATGCTCCGATCTGCAAGAAAGCTGGTGATCCAATCGCACAATTTCTCGGGAAGCCCATAGGAAGGGAGCTTCGAAAGAAGCGCTTTGTGCCAAACCCGATCGAAGGCCTTCGCAATGTCCAAACTGTTGGTAGTGCCTTATAAGCTAAGTGAACCCCGTTCACGAAGACAGGGCTCGAGAAAGGTTAAGAACATAAAACGTCCTTATTCCACGTGTATCAGGTTTACATTATTAATTTATTATTAATTATCCCTTCCCGCTCGGAAAAGGCTCAAAAAGAGCGTCCCACCAAACAACCATCGCAGAGACGCAATACTGCAGAACGCAACAAGCATCAATACGATTATCGTCGACTTACACCATCCCAAGGTCCCCCATACAACCCAGCAGACATCACCACCCGCATACCTGCATCGACCAGAACCACAAGAGTGCGTCGAATCAGGCACAGCATACCCGCAGATCCATCACAAGACGCAATACCGTAAGTAGCAGTAAGCATCAATGCAACTATCATACGCATAGCGCCCCCACACAACACACCCACATGACCCCTATCGATTTTGGTAACAAAGTTTTTATTGTTGTTATATGAAAAATATCACCAACGTATCATAGTAGCACGCTACTAAGACGCCAATGAACAAAACTCCACGTATCATAGCGCTGATGCACTAATACATGAATTTGAGTATGCCTGTTACACTTAAAAGTGCTACCAAACACATCATCATCCCAATCCGAAAGATAGACGACACATCGCTATGCGCTACGACGTCGCCCACAAACGGTATGGGTGTGCGATGTCCACGGGAAAGCTGTATTGCTACAACAAACCCGCTTACCACCGGCACTAAGATGTTATTTGTTTACCTCCATCGACCAGAACCACAAGAATGCGTCGAATCAGGCGCAGCACACCCGCAGATCCATCACAAGACGCAATACAGCAAGTAGCAGTAAGCATCAATGCAATTATCATACGGATGGCGCACCCTCACAACACACACACATGACCCCTATCGATTTTGGTAACAAAGTTTTTATTGTTGTTATATAAAAAATATCACCAACGTATCATAGTAGTACGCTACTAAGACGCCAATGAACAAAACTCCACGTATCATAGCGCTGATGCACTAAGACATGAAGTTGAGTATGCCTGTTACACTTAAAAGTGCTATTAAACACACTCATTATCCCAATCCGAAAGATAAACGACGCATCGCTATGCGCTACGACGTCGCCCACAAACGGTATGGGTGTGCGATGTCCACGGGAAAGCTGTATTGCTACAACAAACCCGCTTACCACCGGCACTAAGATTGTTGTTATATAAAACTGCACCAACGTATCATAGTAGCACGCTACTAAGACACCAGTGGATACAAATACTACCAAATTAAATTCAATACAAATTACTACAAACACAAATTTATAATTTATCAAATCAAATACAAATTACACGACACAACTAATTTAATTAATACAATCACTATTAATCAAATTAAACACAATTACTACACGCAAGTATTCACTGCAGTCGGTCAACAAGATCAACGCTAAGGCGACCGACACTTCGGCAATTTAATCGACAATACGAATGCAAATACAAATACTAAATACGAATACCTGACGCGTAGGTACCTAACTCTAAACTACACTCCGCTTACGCCGCTTACGGGCGTGGCTCTAAATTCTACCTACCGCTAACAAAGTAAGCGAACAAAGAAAAGAAAGAAAGAAAAGAAAAAAAAATATTTTTATTACTTGGTTCTATATACCGTTCCATTAAAAAACAAAAAAAAACTAATGTATTACGGCCGGGCGTGATTGCAAACCCAATCAACCACTCTCTGCTACCAGAATGCGTGGTCCTATCCACTGATCCGCTAACAAACAAAAAAACTATTGTATTACGGCCGGGCGTGATTGCAAATCAATCAACCTCACTCTGCTACCAGAAATGTACACGCCCTTAGTTGCCCCAACAAAGATCGACGAAACCAGAGCCCAGGAGTGATCCCCTCGACGAGCAACCAAGGGTGGAGCCCAATGTCCTCTTCCCTTCCGGACCGCATACAGAGTGCTCGTGTACACAAGATCCGATTTATTTTAATTATATTTAGTCAAATAATTAAATTTAAAGTGGTTTAAGGGCGCGGTGCGATACTAGGAGTGCATAATCTGAGAAGTGTCCGAAAGTATTGTGTCGTATTGTTCTAGTCCCGCACATTGTGTAGCAAACATCAAAAGTGTCGTAGCGTGCTACGAGTCGGCTCCTAGGTACTGCTACGAAGCTACGCACGATTCATACTACTTTACCTGAGTTCTGCGCGCCTAGTACCCGTCAATCAACAATGTCTCTCAGGCGCACGCCTCCCAAGACCTCCGCCTCCGCAACGCAACGGGCCCGCTCCGCGTTGCAGCCCCCCGTCGGCCCCGCTACCGCTACGATGAATTCCCCGGTGTTCATTCAGACAAGCGGCGAATCCGACGCCGTTGCGGCCCATAGTACAGATCAATTTCGTGACTCACCGTCGCAACTTACACGTACGGGTCTGTCACTTAATGATTTAGCGTGCGACGATATTGTAACGAAACGCGTTAAGCGTAAATTTGACTTAGAGGGCGGCAGCCAAGAATTTTCTCAGTCCACTACATCTTTTATAGAAGATTTATTTTCGTCCTTCTCTACTAAAATTGAAAAGCGCTTTGCAGCACTGCATGTTTCAGTAAATCAAATCGCCGATCAAAACTGTGACATGCAAAAAAGTCTGAGTTTTATGAATGAAAAGTATGACCACTTATTAGAAAAATTAAAAACGATGGAGGAAGAACGTTTAAACGACAAAAAAACAATTCAGACTTTGGAGGACAAAATTGAGCTTTTGGAAAAGAGATCACGAGCTACAGCTGTAGAAATACGAAACACGCCAAGAATTTATCAGCAGAATAATAGACCAGAGTCCAAAACTGATTTATGCGATATTGTCAAGATCTTGGCAAAGACAGTGAACTGCAGTCTTCAAGAATCAGATATAAGGGATGTTTATCGCATACTCTCCAAACATGAAACGTCTCGTCCTATTATTTTGGAATTAAACAGCGTCATAAAAAAGAAGCCCTATTAAATGCTATAAAAGAATTTAATCGTAATAAGGGAAAAGGAGAAAAGCTTAATACAAGTCACCTAAATTTACCGGGTACTAGTAAGCCAATATATGTTTCTGAGGCATTAACACACAAAACGCAGAAATTATTTTTTGTTGCCCGCGAATTTGCCAAGGAATATAATTTCACGTACTGTTGGACCTCGAGGGGCGTTATCTATCTGCGTAAGGACGAGAAACAACCTTATGTACGGGTGGACCATGAGAAGGAACTTCAGTCTCAAAAACTCAATATCTAAGTAACTATAATAAACTACTATATGATGCATGCTTCTTACAAAAACTGTTAAAATTTTATATCTTATATTATACGGGTGATAACACATCCCATATTGTTTTTTTGGACTTGTATGAAAATTGTATTAATTTTGCAATGGTGCAGGTACAAAATTTATTAAAAAGTTATTTTTATATTGTACATATGGAATTTAAGGAATATACCTGTCAAGGGCTTAATTTACTTAATTACGATGAGTGCTGTTTTAGATTGATACCAAGACGTGAATGTAATAATGAGGAAGCCATTTCGATTAACTGTGATTTAATTAGGGACCTTTATTTATTAATGCTTGAGTCACTTTTATCATATTTAACTAACTTCTGTAGTCACACATTATATCTCAATATCGAAGAGGTACACAAAGATTACGGTTCATTATATTGCTTTTACGCGTTTTCGACGAATTAGCAGTTTTTGGTGATCTTGACTCCATTGAGGTATCTAGAGCAGTTTCAATAGACGTTGACTCTTGCCAATCACATGTGCCTCAAACTGAAAATTACCTTAAAATTATAACTCAAAATATACAAAGTATAGGTTGTAATTTTGATAATTTTGCTTTGCTTTTGGAAAGAACCAAAATTGTTTGCGACATAATTATACTTACCGAATGCTGGCTATTATGTAACCCAAATATCCCTACTTTAGACAATTATATTGGATATACTAACAAAAAATGTTTTAACCAAAATGATGGTGTCGCAGTTTATGTAAGAAATAGTCTCGGTGTCACGGTTGAGGAACCTTATTTTACGGGCGCAAGCTGTTTAGTAATTAAAAAAAGGAGTAGATCTCGCAATCATTGCCATATATCGTTCCCCTTCAAGAAATAATAGCCCAGATTCATTTATCATCTCCTTGGAACAAGTCTTAGAATCGGTGGTATTGTTTAAAAATGTCGTTATCATGGGAGACATAAATTTCGACATCTCAACGAGTAATATGGATACACATACAGAAAAATATCTTAATCTGACGGCATTTTATGGTCTTATGCCAGCACATTATTTGATTACTAGACCTGTTAGCAAAACTTGTATCGATCACGTATTATTAAAAACTAAAAAGCCCGCTCTAACGTTGATCATCCAGTCTGATATTACCGACCACAGCTCTGTTTTACTTTGTCTTAATTTTGATCCCACTTCTCAACCAAAAACTAACAGCTACTCTAAATTAAATCACTCTAACCTCAATAAGGATATGATAAACACAGATTTCAGTTTTATTTATGATATTGATGATCCTGACGTCGCCGTAAATCGGTTAATTGAGATAATCACTAAACTACATAACAAAAACACTGATATTTGTATATACGCCAACCGAATTAGGATTATCAAACCTTGGATGACATCAGGCTTACTTCGATGTGTTAGAAATAGAGATAACCTTTTTAAGAAAGCCAAAAAAACACCCATACAACAACACCATACAAATAACTTACAAAAGGTATAAGTGTTTTTGTAATAACTTACTTAAAAATATTAAAAGAAAGTATGAAAGTGAATTAATTTTAGGTGCTGGTAATAACAAAAGGAAGCTCTGGAATGTTCTAAAAAATATAACCTATACTAATAAACCTAAATCAGCGGCTGACGAACTGTTGCAGTCTTATGCAACAGCTGACTTAGCCGTTGATAGTGTAAATAATTACTTTGTTAACATTGGAAAACATTTAGCTGAAAAAACCGCAGATACTGATCATTTAACCGACTCAAGCGACATGTCGACTTCTAGTAATTCTTTCGTTATGTTGAATACTGATGAATCTGAAATTGAATCACTTATCATGAATCTCAAAAACAATTGCTCCACTGGGTGGGATAATATTTCAAATGTTTTTCTAAAAAATAATAAAAATATACTTGTACCGATATTAACGCATATTTTTAATAGGTGCTTGGAATATAGTGTATTTCCCGAAGCTTTTAAAAAATCTATTATAATCCCTATACACAAAGGGGGGGACAGAGATCAAGTTACTAACTATAGACCTATAGCTTTACTCCCGGCTATGTCCAAATTATTAGAAAAAAATAATAAATAAACGCCTTATCAACTATTTAGAGACGAACAATCTACTCGCTAAAAACCAATATGGCTTTAGATCTGGTAAAAACACAGATGGTGCTATGCATGACGTAATTAAGTTTATATCAGAAAATTTGGATAAAGGCAGACGATGTTTAGCGATCTTTCTAGATTTAGCGAAAGCTTTTGATACGGTCTCTGTGCCTATCTTGCTGGAAAAGCTTAAAAGGCTTGGTGTACGTGGAAAGCAGTTAAATTTATTTAAGAGTTACATGAAAAATAGATTGCAAAGTGTTAAAATTAGTAATCACAGGAGTTCAGATTTACCAGTGACCTACGGTGTACCTCAGGGCAGTATACTGGGGCCCACCTTATTCACAATTTATGTTAATGATCTCTGTCAAATGAAGCTCATCTCTGGAAAGTCTATTTGCTATGCAGATGATACTGTGCTACTTTTTGCAGAGGGTGATTGGAAAAAAACTTTTGAAGCTGCCCAAAATTCATTTAATACTGTACAAAGGTGGTTGTGCTCTAATAAATTAACTTTAAATGCGGAGAAAACCAAATATCAGACCTTTTCCATTCGTGATGTGACGCAACCAGGAAACGATTTCTCTCTACGTGCACATAGCTGTATTTTAAAAAATCCTAGCTCTCTCACTTCCTGCCGATGTCCGTTATTGGAAAGAGTTGAGATTGTCAGGTATTTGGGTATCCTTCTAGACAAAAATCTATCTTTTGAACACCATATTCAACATTTAAAAAATCGTATCCGCAAACTTATATATGTTTTTAAAAATCTAAGACATGTAGTGCAACCATATCTTTTGAAACAGCTGTATCTTGCTCTGTGTGAATCTTTGTTAACTTATTGCATTTCTTGTTGGGGTGGGGCTCTAAAAACGCACATGGTTTCTTTAGAAAGGGCTCAAAGAGCGCTTTTAAAGGTCTCCACTTTTAAACCATTTCAATATCCTACAATATTACTCTACAATAACTGCCAAGTACTAACTGTTCGCCAACTATTTGTTCTAAATGTTATAAAAAAACAGCATCAGTGTATAAATTATGACCCTGACAAAATCAAATGTAAACGTCGTAAAGACATTGTGATTAAGTCCAGTTTTAAGCCCAACACAAAATTTATAAAAAAATATTTTTGCTTTCTTGGCCCATATTTATATAATAAAGTAAACAAAATTGTTCATATATACTCTATGAATAAGCATGACTGCAACATTGCCCTCAGAAAATGGCTTCAACTAAAGTCTTATGAAGAAACGGAGAATTTGTTAACAGTACTTGCATAAGTGTTCATAGATGTCAATTCGTTACTTCTCTGCTAATTTTTTTTTTTCATCTGTGCATGTCTTTTAAATTCTAAGGATCTATTTTTTTTTTCTTTTGTGTCACTTGTATTATTTCATTATATTTTGTGTATATTATTTAAGGTTTTATGTAAGTGGGAAGAGCTTTGCTTAACCTAAAACACAGGGTTTACCCTAACTTAGGAAGCAAGTTCATTTTTAAGAACATATTTAGTATATAAGATGCATTGTTTGACTCCTACTCTGTATCACTTTCTATCTGAATAAATTATTATTATTATTATTATTTTTGGGGTATCTGTATAGTTTTCTCATCTGGTTGGGTTCTATAAATATATAATTATAAATTAAAATGAAAAGATAAATATACATAAATATCAATAAAATAAAATAAATACAAAAAATACATAAATAAATAAAGATCCAACCAGATGGAAGCCCTCGGCAGGGGAGACCAAACGGCCGAGGGTTAGGGGGAAAGGGAAAGAAACCGACGGACGATGCGGGCGGTATCGAGGACCACCGCCTTCTGCATTTGAGCCCGGAGCGGTCCGTCACGGAGTCCCAGTCGCCTCAGATGACCCGAGAGGCTGACTGGGATTAGCCCGTTTGCAGAGACGACTACAGGAATAATTTCGGTCGGCAGACCACCCCACATGTCGGTCACCTCGTGAGCCAGGTCCAGATATTTTGTTTGCTTATCTGTTTCGGCTTTCACGAGGTTCTCGTCATACGGAATGGTAATGTCGACCAAAAATATCCTTGAATGTGCCCGGTCCATCAGCACAATATCAGGCTTATTCGCAAGAATAGTCCTGTCTGTGATGATGGCCCGGTCCCAGTAGAGCCTGGCGCGGTCATTTTCGAGCACGGCTTCCGGCAAGTACTTGTAATACGGCAATTTCCGGTCCACGAGACCGTATTTCAGAGCGAGCTCCTGGTGTAGAATTCTGGCTACTAGGTTGTGCCTGTGCAAGTACTCAGAGTTAGAAAGCGCCGAAAAACCGGAGATGACATGCCTAAGTGACTCCCCGGGATGGCGACAAGCTCGACAGACGTCGACGGTGCCATCCTTTAGGATGTATCTCCGATAGTTGTTGGTCTTAATAACCTGATCCTGTATTGCACAGACAAAACCCTCGGTTTCCCCGAAGAGGTCACCGAAACGTAGCCAGTTGAGGGAGGCGACTGTATCTACGAAGGGCTCATGTAGAGCCCTGTAGTACCTCCCGTGGAGCTCCTTCTCCTTCCATACGGTCTCCCGGTCGGAAATGCTAAGCACTGCTGGGTCCTGCCATTGCTCGTTGGCTAAGGATAGAGGGGTAAGCCCTTTATCACTAGAAATGACGTCATTATAGAATGGATCATCCGATCTCGCCAGGAAGTAATGACGGAGGCTGCACACTTCACGATTATGCATGGTGAGCGCGCTTAGAAAGCCACGCCCACCATGCTTTCGCGGCAAGTACAGCCTCATTACCGACGATCTCGGATGATGCATCCTATGGGACGTCATGGTAGTGCGGACTTTTCTATCCAGGGCGTTAAGTTCAGTCTGAGTCCACCTGAGTATGCCAAAGGTATACATGAGGACAGGCATGACCCAACCGTTATATGCGTGTGTCTTATTCACACCGGACAAAAGGCTGTTAAGGACTTTGGTCAAGCGTGCATAAAACACGTCGCAAACTGACTGTTTCATACCAGCCTCATCGATACCGATGTTCTGTGACATACCCAGGTATCGGTATGTTTCAGCCTCGGAAAGGGTCCTTAAGTTGACGGGCATAGATAAGTCTATGCCCTCAGAGTTAGCAACCCTTCCCCTCTCAACATGGAGGACCGCACACTTATCCGTCCCCAGCTCCATTCCAATGGAATTGCTAAATTCACAAGTGATTTTTAGCAATTCCACAAGATGGGAGCGACTGGAGGCGAATAACTTGAGGTCATCCATATAGAAAAGGTGGGTCACTTTTGTCCCTCCTTTCCGAAGCTGAAATCCCCTCCCGGAGCCCTCCAGTAAGGTACTGAGAGGGTTCAGGGAGAGGCAGAACCAGATTGGACTCAGACAATCGCCCTGGAAGATACCCCTTCTTATCCTTATGTGGTTCTCCGCAGCCGTCATCCGCTCGCCCAGATGACAAAGGATCGTACTCCACTGCCCCATACACTGCTCGAGGAAGTCTCTAACTGTACAGTCTATCTTATACAGCTCGAGGACTCTCTTTAGCCATGTATGGGGCACCGAGTCGAATGCCTTTCTGTAGTCTATCCAGGCGGCCGAGAAGTTCCGACGGTTGCGTATCACCACTTTGCCAATGACCGCGTCAATGAGGAGTGGTTCCTTAGTTCCACGACCGCCGCCCCGACATCCATTTTGAGCGCGTGACATCACCTGATTTAGCTCCAGGTGACGAGTGATTCTCGCGCTCAAAATGGATGTCAGTGTCTTATATATGGTGGGTAGACACGTAATGGGGCGGTATTTGCTCGGGTCTGTGGTAACCTGGTCTTTAGGAACCAAATGAGTGATCCCAGTAGTGAAGAGGCTAGGGAGCGACTTCTGGTTGAGAGCCTCTTGAAACTGACGGGCGAGCACAGCGTGACACACCATGAACCCCTTCAGCCAGTAGTGATGCAGCCCGTCGAGTCCCGGACTTTTCCAGTTCGGGGCTCTACGGACCGCCTCAGCTACGTCATCCGGCGTTATGAAGACGGGGTCCATGGGCGTAATCCTCGCACACTGACTCGCCACAACTTCCGGCCAAGGGCCCTCGCTGTGGTTTACGGGCTCTGACCACAGGCCACGCCAAAATGCGACAGTGTTAGCCTGATCCGGTCCTGGGCCCGCTCCACATACCTCTGGTCGCTCCAATGATTTGTAGAGCCTCTTCTGATCACTCTGGAAGAGACGATTCTGGTTGAACCGGTGCCTCTGGTTCGTTGGGTGGTGGTGGGATGCGAGGTGCGCCGGGGCAGTGCGAAGGGCCCTTGCTTGGAGTTCTTCTTTTTTCAGGCTGGGATGGCGCTACTTTGTTAGTTTATATTATTATTATTATTATTATTGTGTGGGGTATCTATATAGTTTTCTCATCTGGTTGGGATGTATAAATATATAATTATAAACGAAAATGAAAAGATAAACATACAAAAATATCAATAAAATAAAATAAATATGAAAATACATAAATAAATAAAAGCCCAACCAGATGGAAGCCCTCGGCAGGGGAGACCAAACGGCCGAGGGTTAGGGGGAAAGGGAAAGAAACCGGCGGACGATGCGGGCGGTATCGAGGAGCACCGCCTTCTGCATTTGAGCCTGGAGCGGTCCGCCACGTAGTCCCAGCCGCCTCAGATGACCCGAGAGGCTGACTGGGATTAGCCCGTTTGCAGAGACGACTACAGGAATAATTTCGGTCGGCAGACCACCCCACATGTCGGTCACCTCGTGAGCCAGGTCCAGATATTTTGTTTGCTTATCTGTTTCGGCTTTCACGAGGTTCTCGTCACACGGAATGGTAATGTCGACCAAAAATATCCTTGACTGTGCCCGGTCCATCAGCACAATATCAGGCTTATTCGCAAGAATAGTCCTGTCTGTGATGATGGCCCGGTCCCAATAGAGCCTGGCGCGATCATTTTCGAGCACGGCTTCCGGCAAGTACTTGTAATACGGCAACTTCCGATCCACGAAACCGTATTTCAGAGCGAGCTCCTGGTGTAGAATTCTGGCTACTAGGTTGTGCCTGTGCAAGTACTCAGAGTTAGAAAGCGCCGAACAACCGGAGATGACATGCCTAAGTGACTCACCGGGATGGCGACAAGCTCGACAGATGTCGATGGTGCCATCCTTTAGGATGTATCTCCGATAGTTGTTGGTCTTAATAACCTGATCCTGTATTGCACAGACAAAACCCTCGGTTTCCCCCGAAGAGGTCACCAAAGCGTAGCCAGTGGAGAGAGGTTACTGTGTCTACGAAAGGCCCATGTAGAGACTTGTAGAACCTCCCGTGGAGCTCCTTCTCCTTCCATACGGTCTCCCGGTCGGAAATTGTCTGCACTGCCGGGTCTTGCCATTGCTCGTTGGCTAAGGATAGAGGGGTAAGTCCTTTATCACAAGAAATGACGTCCTTATAGAATGGATCATCCGATCTCGCCAGGAAGTAATTACGGAGGCTGCACACTTCGCGATTATGCATGGTGAGCGCGCTCAAGAAGCCACGCCCACCATGCTTTCGCGGCAAGTACAGCCTCATTACCGACGATCTCGGATGATGCATCCTGTGGGACGTCATGGTAGTGCGGACTTTTCTATCCAGGGCGTTAAGTTCAGTCTGAGTCCACCTGAGTATGCCAAAGGTATACATGAGGACAGGTATGACCCAGCCGTTATATGCTTGTGTCTTATTCACACCGGACAAAAGGCTGTTAAGCACTTTGGTCAAGCGTGCATAAAACACGTCGCAAACTGACTGTTTCATACCAGCCTCATCGATACCAATGTTCTGTGACATACCCAGGTATCGGTATGTTTCAGCCTCGGAAAGGGTCCTTAAGTTGACGGGCATAGATAAGTCTATGCCCTCAGAGTTAGCAACCCTACCCCTCTCAACATGGAGGACCGCACACTTATCCGTCCCCAGCTCCATTCCAATGGAATTGCTAAATTCACAAGTGATGTTTAGCAGTTCCATAAGATGGGAGCGACTGGAGGCGAATAACTTGAGGTCATCCATATAGAAAAGGTGGGTCACTTTTGTCCCTCCTTTCCGTAGCTGAAATCCCCTCCCGGAGCCCTCCAGTAAGGTACTGAGAGGGTTCAGAGAGAGGCAGAACCATATTGGACTCAGACAATCGCCCTGGAAGATACCCCTTCTTATCCTTATGTGGTTCTCCGCAGCCATCATCCGCTCGCCCAGATGACAAAGGATCGTACTCCACTGCCCCATACACTGCTCGAGGAAGTCTCTAACTGTACAGTCTATCTTGTACAGTTCGAGGACTCTCTTTAGCCATGTATGGGGCACCGAGTCGAATGCCTTTCTGTAGTCTATCCAGGCGGCGGAGAAGTTCCGACGGTTGCGTTTCACCACTTTGCCAATGACCGCGTCAATGAGGAGTGGTTCCTTGGTTCCACGACCGCCGCCCCGACATCCATTTTGAGCGCGCGACATCACCTGATTTGAGTCCAGGTGACGAGTGATTCTCGCGCTCAAAATGGATGTTAGTGTCTTATATATGGTCGGTAGACATGTGATGGGGCGGTATTTGCTCGGGTCTGTGGTACTCTGGCCTTTAGGAACCAAATGGGTGATCCCAGTAGTGAAGAGGCTCGGGAGCGACTTCTGGTTGAGAACCTCTTGAAACTGTCGGGCGAGCACAGTGTGACACACCACGAACCCCTTCAGCCAGTAGTGATGCAGCCCGTCGAGTCCCGGACTTTTCCAGTTCGGGGCCCTACGGACCGCCTCAGCTACGTCACCCGGCGTTATGGTGACGGGGTCCATGGGCGTAATACCCGCACACTGACTCGCCACAACTTCCGTCCAAGGGCCCTCGTTGTGGTTTACGGGCTCTGACCACAGGCTGCGCCAGAATGCGACCGTGTCGGCCTGATTCGGTACTGGGCCCGTTCCACTTACCATTGGTCGCTCCAATGATTTATAGAGCCTCTTCTGATCACTCTGGAAGAGACGATTCTGGTTGAACCGTGTCGACCTCTCGGTATATCGCCGAATTCGCTTTCCCCAAGCAGCGATTCTCTGCTTCAGGTCGTCTATGCGCTCCGTCAGTTTTTGCATTATATCCGGCTGGGACAAACTAACATTTGTCCCAGCAAACGCCATCCTGACGGTGCGCACAATCCTTGGCCTGGTATTGCCTGACCTGAAGCATATCAGTCTGCCGATGAGGGCCCTAGCCTTTGCGATACGTTCTTCAATTCTTGTTCTCCAGGCTGGGATAGCACTACTTTGTCCAGTAGTGCGTCCAGCCGTGGAAAGTTTGGCGCCTATAATACGGCAGACTGGCAGTGCGGCGCCAAATAGAATTGAGTCCGTCTCGCAAAGGTCCCGGCTGGCTTCCAAATAGGTCACCAGCATTGGGTTCAGAGCCCTCACGACAGCCCGATTCCGCTTGCTTAGGGCTATGCGGGGAAGTCGCGGTCGATTTTCGAGAGGCGTACTGCGCGTTTCCATAATCGCCTCTTCCAATGTACTCCTCATTTGCTCTATTTCTAGTTCCTGGGTGAATGTTCCATCATCATTTGAATCAGCAACCACTGGGGTATTCTCGGCGGCATCCACGTGTGCGGGTTGTTCTGCAACTTGTGGCACCGCACCCTCAGTCGTAGCGTTTTCATTTGATGAGGGAACAGCCTCACGTCGTAGCCGTTCGAGTTCGGCGCCATCAAATATATTTGAGCGTAAGATATACCGAACTCGGTCTGCCAGGTTTTGTCGGTGACGGTAATAGATGGCTCCAGCTCAGTAAAAAGACGATGCATCCTAGCCCGATACGCGAAACCTCCAATTTCTCCCCCCTTTCGCCCTAAAATACGCCCGCAATGCGTTTGAATTCATATTGATGGTCCATCGCATGCGGCGTACTCCACCAGTGGCGGGTGCCGATTGCTGGGCCTGCGAAGACCCTGCCGACACCAAGCAAGCTGGTGGGGATGATGGATGCGAGGGGCTGCTGGGTGGTCGTGCAGCACCTCGCGCTCGGCTGGCGGTTCGCATGCTGTCGCGTCCAGCGCCAGCTCCAGACGCGCCCTGACGACCTCCAGGCAGCGGCCCTTTGCGCAATCTTCTATGTTCCATCATCCATACAGGGCGTCATTTAACGGGAGACGCCCAGACCCGGCGCCGTTTCATGGTGAGGCCATATGCACAAGCGGGCCCTTGCACCATCAATTTTTGCCGAGGCACGGCGCTCACACCTCTTGGCAAGGTGCTGACTGACTGCGCGGACGTAGCGGTTTTGTCACATAACCGTCACGTCAACGGGCGATGGGGTCGTCACTTCCCTACGCCATTATTATTATTATTATTATTATTATTATGGATTATGGATAATTAAATAGGAACGGTTAACAAAGAAGCAAGCAACACTTACCGATTGGCGGAGGTAGGGTCAACCACAAGGGGCGTCAGGGGCAGGTGAGGTGCATGTAAGTGGTGTTCAGTAATGTATAAAATGTGTAACCTGACAGCACCGCTGATCTTGGACTGCAGGTCCCAAGGCGCCGCCTCTCTCCAAATGTGGAATCCGCCCAGGGGGGCTTTTTTCTTTCACCAATTGAAACGTCTGCTTCTATTTTCACTACATTAGTTTATTACTTTATTGTACATTTAATTAACTTCAAATTCAACCCAATCAACGGTAATCGACATTAAAACAAGTGACACGCTGCATAACTTAAGGACGGTTGGTCAAAGTTCAAAGTCCCAGGTTCACTTAGCACAAAACTTCTAACTCGTCGGTGCAATTAACGGCATAAAAGGCAAAAAACGAACTTAATGCTCCGATTAGCAAGGAAACTAGTGATTCAATCGCAAAATTTCTCGGGATGCCCATAGGATGGAAGCTTAGAAAGAAGCGCTTTGTGCCAGCCACGATCGAAGGCCTTCGCTTTATCCTAACTAACGGCCAATGGTTCCCACTTGGACTCTAATGCCTCCGCCCATCTATGAGGAAAGTAGACCAGAAAATCACCAGCTAATCGACCATGATGGAAATCGTATTGGCGGTCACTGATCAGCTGGTGATCCTCAAGGCGCTGGCAGTTTACAATATACTCCATTGTTTTGGAGAACAAGGAGTGATTTCGATAGGCCTGTAGTTGGACGGGTTCGAGCGACGCCATTTTTAGGAATCGAATGACCAAAGCTGTCTTCTAAGAATTCGACATTTCGCCTTGGGAGTAGGAGTAACGGAAAAATTGTATTAAAAGGGGTGCCAACTCCGGAGCATACGTCTTCAACACAATGGCAGGGACTCCATCGGGCCCACTCGACTTGCTGACATCTAGGGAGAAAAGTGATTTGCGAACCCAGCATCCAATGTAACCGATGTAAACCGCACATCCGGCATGGAGCACTCACACCGCAGGATGGTCGACGGTGTGTTCCCCCCGTCATCGAGAGTCAAGTTGGACGCAAAGTGAGAGCCTAACAGATCCTTCTTTGCGGCATGGGCCAGTGAGTCATCCTCTATGTGCAGAGATGGAAGAGACGGCTACCGAAGTTCCCTTGGACAGCCTTCTCGAGTGACCAGATTGCACAGGTTCTCGAAGGGAGGCGAACTAGATTCTCGCCGATTCTGCCGATGTGCTCAGGCCTTGGCAATGACTCTTTTTATGGACCTGGAGGTGAAATTATACTTCTTTTTAAGATTTCAAGTATTTATATCCCAAAACATTGATGCGTAAGCCCGGGCTCGGCAGCACTCCTGCTTATAGCGTGATGCTTTTTAACAGGAGCGATCAAAAGAAATACATGAGACAATGAGAAACAAGATAATTCTATTAAAAGTTTTTTTAATTTACAAACACTTGGAAGAGAAGGCCAAACTGTCATCTAAAAAGCTTGGCGTGTTCAGCAGAGCAGGATAGTATTTCATGCCGGCTCACCGCCTACAACTTTACAAGATGCATGTTCGGCTGCATATGTACTTTTCCCATTTCAGGGCTGGGGCAACCCAGTGTTAGCTCCTAATATTTGATCGCATCTAGCGCAGATCAGATCGAATCGTCGGCGACTCAGCTCTTTCCGATTGGCTTGTGTTTCTGGCTCTGCGAAGGTATTTTGCATCTCTTTGAGTATTTTATCGCATCTACCACAGGTGTACTCTGAGGGATTGCTAAGAATAATTTCATCCGTACAATTTTACCATCGCACATCGCGATGAATGGCATACCATCTGGATACCATCTGGATGGATGGCAGTCCACCACTGTGCAATTTAAGAGAAGTTTTCTTCCTCGCACAACTTCCTTGTGGAATGATTTACCACCATAGATTTTCCCGGACCGATACGACTTAGGGACTTTTAAGAAAAGAGCCTATTCCTTTTCAAATGGCTGGCAAAGCACCTGCAATTCCCCTGGTGTTGCACTTTTTAATGGGCGGCGGTAATTACTGACAATCAGGTGAGCCGTATGCTCGTTGGCCCCCTTTCCAATAAAAAAATCATAGTCAGCAGGGTTTTTATTTTTTTAAGTTTTTTTTAATATTAAAAATACAAAACTTGGTTTTTAAATATACATATCGGGAAAACTGCTAAAACAGTTTATCTGCAGCAACATTTGAGTTTCATTTACATAATACATAATATTAATGTTAAGCACTGACACTTGCCAATAATTACTTCTTTAATTTATTTTTAACTATGCTTTTTACTGTTTTACGTCCAGCCAAACTATTGAAAAAGTACGGTAGTCGTTTTTTTAAAGTTCTGTCCCCGAAGTAGTTATTTACTTTTGGTACAACAAATTTGCCTGCAGACATCGACCGCGTACTTTGACCATGCTTGACCCATGTTAAAGTACGGTCTCGACAGCTGTAATTGTTTATGGCAAGTTAATATTTATGTTTTAAAATTACTAGGAGTATTTTGCAGATTTTGAATAATTTTGTGTAATCACCTTTACAAATAGCTTTAGTTTTTTTATTAACTATTTTTTTTATAGAATAGGGTGACAAACGAGCACACAGTCCACCTGATGGTAAGTGGTTGCTGCGGCCCATAGACATCTACATCTCTTCTCCATTAAAAATTAAAATGCAGATGCGTTGTCACCCGTGAGGACTGAGATGGAATGCCTCGTTTCCGGTAAAAAGGGTCTCCGGTTCTCTACACCCACCATACGAAATACAGCAGCATTAAGCTACTATTTCATACTGGTATTCTGTGAGAGCGTGGTCCATCCCCGGTCGAGCCGACCCATTCGTGCTACAACTATACTACTAATATAACTGCAGCATGGCTCTACCACGTATAAACTTTAGGTGTGAGTCAAACTAGTTAATAAGTTTAGAATCTATGACCATAAATGTCAAGAGCGTATCCCAAAATCGAATCCACCAATCGTAACGCTTCACCCACTCTATATAAATAATATATTAAATATTAAATATATTATATACAATTATTTACCCCTTTTCAATAACATTATATATTTGTGACCAGGATAAATAAAATATGTTTTGATCTTTCTAAGTGATCTTTCTAAAGGTTTAATAGTAGGCCGTTTGTAATATTTTGGCGTGATCGTCTTAGTTAGGACCCTTATTTACGTTGTGTTTGTTTAGTAACTTAGTTATTTTAGGTGTCTTTTGGAAGAATGAATATTCACTAGAGCAATTGAAAGCTGTTGGTAGTACCGTATAAGCTGAGTGAACCCTGTTCACGAAGATAGGCCTCGAGAAAGGTTAAGAACATAAAACGTCCCTACCCACTTGTATCAGGTTTACATTACTAATTTATTATTAATTATCCCTTCCCGCTTGCAAAAGGCTCACAATATATTTATACAAAATACTCGATACAAGGACTTCGCTCTCCTACATTTATTTTAAAAAATGTAGGGGAGGCACACGGCTCCACAGAAGCCTTGCGCGGTGAGCGCCAACCTTTTTGATGCACTCTCCCCGAAGGAAACGCTAAATCGGGAACTGGAACGTAGTCCACAGCAAAATAACCGGCGAACCAGTAAAAGAGGCTTGGCCCCTTGTTTGTGCATAAGTACAAACATAGACCGAAGTCGCGTATGTCAATGCGTGTAAACGCCATACAGAATATGAACGAATCCAGCCACAGTGAATGTACGTCACACGGTTTAGGCAATTAGGCACACTGGCCCTAAACCCTCCGTGAGCGTCACCACCTGCCAGACCGCCGCTCCTGCAGACGTGATGTAATTGTATGGCATCACCACCAATTTCATGATCAGCACGGCCACTAGCCGCAGAGCGTGTCATGAGTCTACCGCTCACCTCAAGGGAATGAGGTCCCACATTGTGGGGCTTTCGGCCGGCAACCTTGAGAGTCTCCTCAGATCCTCTCACCAGCTACCACCCGCATGAGGTTGACACATATGCTCCACCAACCAATACAACGGCAGATATAGCCAAAAGGCAGTTATAAGATAAGAGTAATAATTCGCCATCAAAAAGGGTTTGTGTCACTGACGTTG